ACTTCTTATGGGAATTTCGCCAAAGTATTGCCAAAAACACTGCGAGTGAATAGACATGTTTACATCTGGGAGCACGCCACGTACGCCGCCAGAGGTGCTCCCGTCGCCAGTGTCACTGAGTGGAGTGTCTTGTCCTGAACATTCTTTACACTACAAATTACAGTGGAGTCTACTGGATAAATATCCACATTATTACAAACAGGTAACGTGGTAACTTCCATTATCTATTCATTCTGTTCGTCAATTGAGAGAAATGTTAATTCAATGTCTGAAGAACTGTTAGAGATTATATCTATGAATTAATCAAGACAAATGTTATTTTATCCCACAATAAAGTCTATGTAACTATAATTCAATACGTACATGATTGTATACGAGCAGAAAAAAACCCTCTCCAAATTATCGTAAATGAAATCAACGATGAAAATGAAGTTACAGCAATTATTTAAATATTGTTTTAATCTACCCAAAGTTGTATGGGTGGCAGAGGGAACTGGACGAGGAAAAGATGTCACCTATCTATCAGGATTTATGAAGGGCAACAGGACAGCGGTAAAGCCCACCAACCTTCACACCCTGCCTCTCTGCCTTATGCCAAGCATCACCAACCACTCCCTGCCTCCCTCCTCCCTCCCCTCGCCAACCACTCCCTGCCTCCCTCCTCCCACGCCTTGCCACCCACTCTCTGCCTCCCTCATCCCACGCCTCGCCACCCACTCCCTGCCTCCCTCCTCCCACGCCTTGCCACCCACTCTCTGCCTCCCTCATCCCACGCCTCGCCACCCACTCCCTGCCTCCCTCCTCCCACGCCTCGCCAACCACTTCCTGCCTCCTCCACGTCCCCCTCCCACGCACACCTCACCATCCATTCCCCTGGAGAGAGAAGAGAGTGGGAGCAGCCGTGAAAGTATTACAGTGGTACAGCCACTTGACAGTCGGTATACAGCTGGTAGATCTAATTAGCGTTTGAATGATCCACAGCTCTCCCGGCTCCGGCAACAGTCTGACAAATCCAGTCAGAACTTAGACCAATTAAGAGGTACAGTCAGTTCAACTCATAACAGGAGGATACAATGCGACAGGGGAATAATGAGTGGTACAGTCAGTAAGGCAGTCAGGGCGAAGAGCATGTGTGTGTGTGTGTCATGTGAGGCAGTTGATGGTGTCACACAAGTAATCCTTCTCCCGTGTCACCTCTTCTTACATCACCGACTAGGCCACCAGGGTCCTTCCTCCTCACACCCGTTCAATATTGAGTGTTTTATAACAACACTTTACTCGGTGAACACAAATAACATACTAGAGTTCATAATGCATTAATACCAGTGTTATCAACTCTATACCAAATAATGATAAAGAAAAAATATAAACACGACGAAAGGTAATCTATATTGATAGTGAATCTCTAATAGAAATACAGTACTAGTTTTGTATTCAAGGATGTGTTAAACTAGTACAGTATCTTGGTATTATGTGTAGCCACGAGCATCACTAGCCACAGTCCTCCTCTACTGAAGTGAAGAGCGAGCACTGATACGGTGCACGGGGTCAATGTCCTCTACCACCACCACCACCACCACCACCACCCCCTCCTCCTAATACCACCACCACCACCATTATTACCACCGCCACTACTATTACCATCATCACCATCATTACTACCACTGCCACTACTACTACCATCATCACCACCATTACTACCTTTAATACTACCCAAACCACAACAATCACCACTACCATCATTACCAACTATCCTACTGCTTTACAAACCTGCTTTAAACACACCAGCACCTCAGACACATTATAAACACTAGTTCTCCAGGTAGACACATTATACACAGGTTCTCCAGGTAGACACATTATAAACTAGTTCTCCAGGTAGACACATTATAAACTAGTTCTCCAGGTAGACACATTATAAACTAGGTCTCCAGGTAGACTCATTATACACAGCTTCTCCAGGTAGACAAAATATAAACACAACTACAAACTCATCACACATTGGCCCCGTATAAACAAAAGTCAACAAACGTCTTATTATACTTTACCTTGAACCAAAAACACTGCCAGTCATTGTACACAATTTTTTTTACAGCACACACACACACAAACATACACATACTGTATATATATATATATATATAATGATTTTATTATGCAAAAGGCAGTATATTTAAAGATAAAGCCTCAGTGAATACTAAAATAAAGAGATGAAAAAAGCTATAATAATAATAATAATAATAATAATAATAATAATAATAATAATAATAATAATAATAATAATGATCATCAGTTCCCTTCATCAAGTGGTTAAGACCTGAGTCAACAATCTTCCCATGCACGGACCTGTACCACACCAACACCAACCTGTGACGGACCTGTACCACACCAGCACCAGCCTGTGACGGACCTGTACCACACCAGCACCAGCCTGTGACGGACCCGTACCACCTGTGACGGACCTGTACCACACCAACACCAACCTGTGACGGACCTGTACACACCAACACCAACCTGTGACGGACCTGTACACACCAGCACCACCTGTGACGGACCTGTGCACACCAGCACCAACCTGTGACGGACCTGTACCACACCAACACCAACCTGTGACGGACCTGTACCACACCAGCACCAACCCAGACGGACCACCACACCCACCAACCCAGACGGACCTGTACCACACCAACACCAACCTGTGACGGACCTGTACCACACCAACACCAACCTGTGACGGACCTGTACCACACCAGCACCAACCTGTGACGGACCTGTACCACACCAGCACCAACCTGTGACGGACCTGTACCACACCAGCACCAACCTGTGACGGACCTGTACCACACCAACACCAACCTGTGACGGACCTGTACACACCAGCACCAACCTGTGACGGACCTCCACCCACACCAGCACCAACCTGTGACGGACCTGTACCACACCAACACCAACCTGTGACGGACCTGTACCACACCAGCACCAACCTGTGACGGACCTGTACCACACCAGCACCAACCTGTGACGGACCTGTACCACACCAACACCAACCTGTGACGGACCTGTACCACACCAGCACCAACCTGTGACGGACCTGTACCACACCACACCAACCTGGACCTGTACCACACCAACACCAACCTGTGACGGACCTGTACCACACCAGCACCAACCACGGACCTGTGTGACGGACCTGTACCACACCAGCACCAACCTGTACCACCAGCACCAACCTGTGACCTGTACCACACCAGCACCAACCTGTGTACCCACCTGTACCACACCAGCACCAGCCTGTGACGGACCTGTACCACACTGACCTGACCGGACCTGACCAACCTGTACCACCACACCAACCACGGACCTGTACCACACCAACACTGCCCACACCAGCACCAACTGTGACGGACCTGTACCACACCAGCACCAGCCTGTCCAGAGACCTGTGCACCAACCTGTGACGGACCTGTAACACCAGCTGTGACGGGAGCTGACCTACCACACCAACCTGTGAGCAGCCTGTACCACACCAACACCAACCTGTGACGGACCTGTACCACACCAACGACAGACCTGTACCACACCAACACCAACCTGTGACGGACCTGTACCACACCAACCTGTGACAGACCTGTACCACACCAACCAACACCAACCTGTGACGGACCTGTACCACACCAACAACAACACACATTATGCACCCTCCTACAGCACTACAGTTCCTAAACATTCATAACATTTATCCAATGTTTAGTAAGAGCAATGTTAACCAGAGCATAATTAAGTGTAATAACATCAGGCAGGTGTAGGAGAACCACCACAACACCCACCTGGTCACCATAGTGAAGCACCACCTGGCCACCATAGTAAAGCACCACAACACCCACCATAGTGAAGCACCACCTGGCCACCATAGTGAAGCACCACCTGGCCACCACAGTGAAGCACCACATAGCCACCACAGTAAACCACCATAACACCCACCTGGCCACCATAGTGAGGCACCATAACACCCACCTGGCCACCATAGTAAAGCACCATAACACCCACCTGACCACCACACTCTCTGCTCACGGCTTCCACAGTAGCCAGAGGACCAGGTAAAAATGCAAGTTTTTACCTGGTCATTTTTGTCCCTATAATATGTATAGGTGGGTTGAGAACCTGCCCCAAGGAGAAGGAGGGGGTAAGGGAAGCCGAGATGGGGGACTGAGAGGGCCCTGGGATGTGGGGGACCGCGGGAACTTAAATGTGGGTCACCTACTTTACCTAAGAACGAGGAACTGTGCTGAGAGTAAGAGTGAATGATCTAGTTATTATTTGTTTTACAGTATGATGGATCAGTTTCCTCTCATAACGTACGTAAGGAAGACGCTCAGTGTTGTCAAAGTGCTTACACCCACCCGGTACAAGAGCTGAACAGAGGAACAAGAGTTAGCTAGGAGCTCCGGGTGTATCGTCGCCAGCGGATCAGGGAGCGAATCGCGGTAAGGAGGTCTGGGGGGGGGGGGGATGCATTAGAGGGAGCGAGTGAGGGGGGTGCGCGCCAGTCCTAGATATTAAACGCACCGCCCATAGGCTGCCGTCCTCTCCCAAAAAGAAAACTTTACCTTCAAAATTTGCCTTTCGTCACAGAGACCAACTTCTTGTGAGGTGTTAGTTGTCATATGTTATAAAATTAAGAGAAACACAAAATGGTGAAAGAGCAAATGTTGAGAATGTTGGTGGGCAGGAGGTCGGGGTTCCTGAGTGTGGGTCAAGAGTCAAGAGCCAATCCGAGCTGCTTCCTTCACTCCTCTCTCTCTAAGTTCTTGTGTTTTCTCTCGTGTGGTTCTGGTGCTGTGTCGTATTTAACTCTGTAAAAGACAAGAGGGTGTTGAAAAGGCTCCTGTGGACTATTTCCTACACAGTCTACCCACAATGCCTCACACGGGGTGGGTTCCAGTGTCAGGGCCAAGGATGGCGGACTGGTGGTGCTGGTGGTGCGCTGCGAATGTAGGCCAGCTAGCTTCAGTCTCGTTGTGACTGTGGCAGTTGACGGACCTTCACGCTCTCGCTCTCTCTTGTGGGGTTATTTATATTACTACTACTGCTACTGTTGTTACTGGCTCTGGTGCTTCTGCTGCGTGTGAACTCTTACTGTGCACCGCGACACCACAAACATCTCCTTGAAGGCATCGAGTGTATCAGTTGTGCTGTGGATCTATTGCCTGTGGGACCCCTGGATGTTAATCGAGTTCCAGAAACTATTATATTGTTTAAGCAAGTTCTGTGCTTACCCATCATCACAGCAACTTATAGGTGAGTGGCCAGGAAAAAACCCTAAAATGTTCTTTGGTGATGGGTAATAACTCAAACCGAAATGCAGGTGTTCCATACGCTGTGTATAAGGAAACATGATTGCAGTTTTAAGACACACACAAACACACACACACACACATTATATATATATATATATATATATATATATATATATATATATATATATATATATATATATATATATATATATATATATATATATATATATATATATATATATATATATATATAGTGTAAGAGTGAAGGGTAACCTGGAAGGGTAGTGAAGAAGGGGGCACTGTTATCACAAGGTGTGGGGGTTGAAGATACTCTGGCAGGACCTCCACAACGACCCAACAGGTTACTCGGGTGCACCAAACGGTACATCAAACGGGACAGTCACTCCAAGCAGACCAATGTTTGTGAATATCCCTGGCTCTCCTGTGGTCAGGACATTCCTAGGGGCAACGTGGGCACCTGGATTTACCCCTTGCCTCCCGAAAATACCCATCTGCCCCAGGGCCCTGCGACAAGGTGTATAATCTGGGCATCAGGTCGACCCAGGTTGCTAACGGTATCTGAGCGCCATAGCAGTACCTGATGAACACCTCGCCATCTCTATTATATTTATACTATTTTGGTCATTAACTGCTTTTTTCAGCACCTTTAAATTCACTGTGATAAAGTATTAATACTAAACGGCACATAAAGTGTTTCTGCTGGTGACAATCACATGAAAAATTAAAACAGAGCTTGAAGAAATACGACACAGACGAAATACAGCGGGAAATGCTTACCGTACCCCAGAGCCGCTAGCCTAGCGGTCCCAAGGACTTTGTCCCGCCACCTGTACGTTAGTGAACACTCCTTAGTTTATGTTGCACACTCCAGCTGTATTTTGGTATCTCTAACCGCTTACCACACTCCCCCAGCCTGGAGAGATATTTTTTAGGAATACAGAGTGTGTGTGATGGCACCAAGTACCTGCAGAAGAGCGAGTGACCATGTCCATTAGCCTCCACCCACACCAGCCGCCCCCTCCGGCCACCCCCGGGATAACAACACACACACACACACGCACACACACACCTCACTTCCTCACCTTTAGTCATAATTCATATGTTCAACTATCCAGTTAGTAAATACTCTTTTACCTATATATATACTGTATACTTTAACAACACTGCCATCTACACTAGCTCTAAGGCGGAGTCTATTAATACATTAAGATTATTGTGCTTATCTAATACAACGCTGGCAACTACTGTGAGGTGCTTACAGATACAAGTATTGATCTGTGCGACTGGAGAGAGAATCTGGCGGCTAAAAACAACATCATCCACACATCTATAAATAAAATCAAGAGACTAAAAGAGTTGTAAGATAAACACAGTCAGCGATAAACAATATATACTTGGTAAGGTATTATTACTAGAAACAAGACGGGAGCAATAAGTAATAAATGAATAGTTATATGTAAGAGGGTAGTTGAAGATAAGGAGGGAGGTAGTGACGGAAGACTGCTGGTGTTTATCAGGTAGCAGCAGGCAACAGCAGTTCTCGCCACCAGCTACGTGGGAGACTTGAACGCTGCAGCCCAGGTAGTGATCCAACGCTATCTATGTCAGTGGGTTAGCCTACATGACAAGAACATTCGCATTATATTTACTCGGTATAACATGGCAGATTGAGTCCGGATTATCTTCATCTAACTTCTGTCCATATTTACGTAGCATGAAAACAAACTACACTTTAAGACATCAACTTTTATATGAACTTTGTACCTAATAATGACTGTGTGTGTGTGTGTGTGTGTCTGTGTGTGTATGTGTGTGGAATAGTATTATGAAAGGAATTAAGTCGATGTCAATATGGCATTTCGTAAGAGAGAACACATGAGTTGTTCTATATACAGTAGCGGGTGTTCTATTTACTAGCTCTGTGTAATGTGAGACAACTAGTGATTGATATAATTGGTGATGTACAGCCATAAACACATCTCCTAACCTGACCTAACCTAACCTAACCTAACCTAACCTAACCTAACCTACCCACCCTAACTTAAACTGTCTCTCATTCTAACCAAACTATTTCTACTGCCTCTCACCTTACGTAACCACTGTCACCATCACCACCACAACGTAACACCAGCACTATCAACAACACCATCACTCCTAATGTCACCACCACCACCGCCACCATCACCACCACAACGTAACACCAGCACTATCAACAACACCATCACTCCTAATGTCACCACCACCAATATCACCAACACCAACCTCCATCACAGAACCACCGTCACAACACCACTGTCACCATCACCCCTACCACATCACTACACCAATCATTACTAACACATGACCACCATTACCATTACTATCATCATCACTACCATTACCACATCTCCATTATAACTACTACCACCACTACTATCATTACCACCACTACTACCACTACCACCGCTATTATCATTACCACCACTACTACCATTACCACCACTACTACCATTACCACATCACCACCACTATCACCACTACTACCATTACCACATCACCACTATTACCACCACTACTACCATTACCACCAATACTACAATTACCACCACAACTACCAATACCACCACTACTACCATTACCCCTTCACCACCATACACGGGGTCTCGTGGTCACTGGCAGGACTTAGAGGCAGGAAATGCATCATGTTGACCACCACCAGATACCCTTGGTTCCTGGAAGTGTGCCATCACCTGCCCTTCCATCTATTATCTACCCTTCCCTCCATCACCTTCTCTTCCCTCCATCGCCTACTCTTCCTTCCATCACCTACCCTTCCCTCCATCACATGCCCTTCCATCCATCACCTATCCTTCCCTCCATCACCTAACCTTCCCTCCATCGCCTACCCTTCCCTCCATCACCTACCCTTCCATCCATCACATGCCCTTCCATCCATCACCTATCCTTCCCTCCATCACCTAACCTTCCCTCCATCGCCTACCCTTCCCTCCATCACCTACCCTTCCATCCATCACATGCCCTTCCATCCATCACCTACCCCCTTCCTCTATCACTACTCCTCCCTCCATCACCTGCCCCTTCCATCCATTATCTACCCTTCCCTCCATCAACTGCCCTACCATCCATTATCTACCCTTCCCTCCATTACCTACTCTTCCTTCCATCACCTTTCTTCCTCCATCACCTGCCCTTCCATCCATTATCTACCCTTCCCTCCATCAACTGCCCTTCCATCCATTATCTACCCTTCCCTCCATCACCTGCCCTTCCCTCCATCACCTAACCTTCCCTCCATCACCTTCTTCCCTCCATTAACTGCCCTTCCATCCATTATCTACCCTTCCTCCACCGCCCTTCCATCCATTATCTACCCTTCCTCCATCACCTGCCCTTCCTCCATCACCTAACCTTCCCTCCATCACCTCTCTTCCCTCCATTAACTGCCCTTCCATCCATTATCTACCCCTTCCTCCATCACCTGCCCTTCCCTCCATCACCTAACCTTCCCTCCATCACCTCTCTTCCCTCCATTAACTGCCCTTCCATCCATTATCTACCCTTTCCCCATCACCTGCCCTTCCATCCATTATCTACCCTTCCTCCATCACCTGCCCTTCCATCCATTATCTACCCTTCCCTCCATCACCTCTTCCCTCCATCACCTGCCCCTTCATCCATTATCTACCCTTCCCTCCATCACCTAACCTTCCCTCCATCACCTTCTTCCTCCATTAACTGCCCTTCCGTCCATTATCTACCCTTCCCTCCATCACCTTCTTCCTCCATCACCTGCCCTTCCATCCATTATCTACCCTTCCCTCCATCACCTAACCTTCCCTCCATCACCTTCTTCCTCCATTAACTGCCCTTCCATCCATTATCTACCCCATCCATTATCCACCCTTCCTCCATCACCTTCTCTTCCCTCCATTAACTGCCCTTCCATCCATTATCTACCTCCCTCCATCACCTTCTCTTCCCTCCATCACCTGCCCTTCCATCCATTATCTACCCTTCCTCCATCACCTACTCCCTTCCTCCACCTGCCCTTCCATCCATTATCTACCCTTCCTCCATCACCAGCCCTTCCCTCCATCACCTGCCCTTCCATCCATTATCTACCCTTCCTCCATCACCTGCCCTTCCCTCCATCACCTGCCCTTCCATCCATTATCTACCCTTCCCTCCATCAACTGCCCTTCCATCCATTATCTACCTTCCTCCATCACCTTCTCTTCCCTCCATCACCTGCCCTTCCATCCATTATCTACCCTTCCTCCATCACCTGCCCTTCCATCCATTATCTACCCTTCCTCCATCACCTTCTCTTCCATCCATTATCTACCCTTCCTCCATCACTTGCCCTTCCATCCATCACCTTCCCTTCCCCTTCATCACCTACCCTTCCCTCCATCACCTACCCCTTCCCTCCATCACTTGCCCTTCCATCCATTATCTACCCTTCCCTCCATCACCTTCTTCCCCCATCACCTTCCTTCCCCTCTTCATCACCTACCCTTCCCTCCATCACCTACCCTTCCCTCCATCACCTGTCCCTTCCATCCATTATCTACCCTTCCCCATCACCTGCCCTTCCTTCCATTATCTACCCTTCCCTCCATCACCTTCTTCCCTCCATCACCTTCCTCTTCATCACCTGCCCTTCCTTCCATTATCTACCCCTTCCTCCATCACCTTCTCTCCTCCATCACCTCTCTTTCCTCCATCACCTGCCCTTCCATCCATTATCTACCCTTCCCTCCATCACCTTCTCTTCCTCCATCACCTTCCCTTCCCTTCATCACCTACCCTTCCATCCATTATCTACCCTTCCCTCCATCACCTGCCCTTCCATCCATTATCTACCCTTCCTCCATCACCTTCCCTTCCCTTCATCACCTACCCTTCCCTCCATCACCTTCTCTTCCCTCCATCACCTGCCCTTCCATCCATTATCTACCCTTCCCTCCATCACCTGCC